TATTCATCTCAGCATAGAGTTGTGGAGATCATGAAGTGACAAATGTTAGACCATTAGGGAAAATTCGAAAGCACTAGATACCTGTTTTTACCTTAATATAAGACTCCACAGTAGTGGTCATCCATGATCCCGCACGTGAGACTAGAACCTAAGAGCTTTGATATTGTCAGCGAATACATATCTTCTAGATCACTGAGCCGTTATCCAACAGTGTTCTATTCTTTTCAAACATTTATTTAATTTAAAAAATTGCATCTTGACTGGTCCAATGTTCTAAATTGGTCTGATTTATTCTATGTTTGAATTATTGAGAAGGTTTGCTTTTCATTTCAATAATGTTTACGTTGTTAATGGTTACTAAAGCACTTGAATATTTGACGTATATTATTTGCCTGCATTTATATACGATGATCTAAGTCTTTTTAAGTCATACAAACAAGCTATTTGAATACTTTAAAAAAAACGAATATCTGTAATTATTTGTTTAAATATTCATCAAGGCATTATTTTAAAGTGCGTTACATGAAGTGGTTAGTGAAGACAACATAATAAACTGGTTTCTATTATATAATAAATTACTTTTGTTTCGAAAAAATATTAAGTTTACCAGGAAAAAAGTTTTCGGTCTTCCTATTTTCCGTTTCCTTTCAGGATTTCAATTTAGCGCTTCCCAGGTACGTGAAAGTTTCCATCACTTCTAGAGCGTTTTCATCACGTGTGATTAGGTTGGTTGATTCACTTTGTATTGTATTTGAGGATCTTGCTGTTTCCAGTGTGTATGTTGAGGCCTACTGATCTAAACGTTGCTGCTACATTTGTTGTATTCATCTGCATTTTTTGATGTGTATGGGATAAGATGGTCAGGTCATCTGCGAAGTGTAAGTTGTCTAGTTGCGTGAAACCTGTCTGTTGTATTAGGTGCTTTCTCTCAAATGTTGAGGTCCTCATAATATAGTCAATCACCAGAAGGAAGAGAATGGTGAGTGTAAGCAGCCTAATCTGACTCCGGTCCTCATCTAGAATGCATCTGTCAGCTGTCCTCCATGCACCACTTTGCAGTGTAGTCACTCGTATGAATTCCGTATTATATGGACGATCTTCTCTGGTACACCACAGTGTCGAGAAAGTTCCCAATAGAATCCCCCTATCCACATTGTCGAATGCTTTTTCACAATCAATAAAGTTGATGTATAGTGACAGTTTATTTCAGTTGATTGTTCATTGGTGACCTGTAGTGTCGCGATTTGCTCTGTGCATGACCGATCCTTACAGAATCCAGCCTGTTGATCTCAAGGTTGGACGTCTACCGAGTATTTTATCAAGTTCAACAACACTCTGTGATTCCTCTATAGTTCTCACATTTGCTCAGATCTCCTTTCTTTGTTATCTTAATGAGATATCCTTCTTTCCAGTTTGTTGGCACTTGTTCCTCCTCCCAAATCTTCCTGAAGAGAATGTGGAGCGTCTTCAAAATCACTTCCATGTTTGACCTCAGTACTTCAGCTAGTATATTGCCAGGACTCCCTGCTTTCTCACTCTTCATTTGTCTGATGGCCATCTTGACTTTTTTTATCGTTGGTGGAGTGGTAGCTATAGGAAGGTTTGTGTGTACCTCCTCAATATCCGGTGGATTCAATGAAGCTGGCATACTCAAGAGTTCATCGAGGTGTTCCACGCACCTGTTTCTTTGTTCTTGAATTTCAGTGATTGGCTTATCTTCTTTGTCTTTGACCGATCTCTCTGGCTTACTATATTTCTCTGTAATTTTCTTTTTTGTGTCTTCAAGCCGTCTCATATTTCCTACTCTTTCAGTTTTTTCCTCTGTCGTTGCTAGCTCTTCCATGTATTCTTGCTTGTCGGTTTTAATGCTTCTCGTAACTTGCTTGTCTACTTCTGTGTATTCAGATCGCTCCCTGACATTCTCTAATCTTGTTCGACTTCTGTTATTTGCTCTCTCATTATTATTACTTTCTTAAATCTTTTACACAGTCTCCATAGAGATCCATTCCTTATGATGATGCACTCGACTCTTTGAAGTTAGTACTTCTTTGATCCCATTCCAATTGTCCTCTATTGTAGCTTCTTCTTCTTTGAGTAGGTCTTTTTAGGTTTGGAACTTGTTGTTGTGAGTTATCTTGAATTGTACAAGTTTGTCACTATGTCGAAGTAAGGCTGTATTAAACCTTTGTAATGCTGTTTGTCCAATTGTTCGATGATTTTTGAATGCACTTCGGTTTGCAAATCTCTTGCTATATTTGTTTCTCTCTCCTAGTCCATGTTGTCCTATGATATCCTAATATCCCATATTGTTCGATCCGACTTTGGTTGTTAGATCTCCATCAGTATGGTCAAGTCCTTTCTTCTCTGTGATTGATTGCAGCCACTCATAGAACTGATCTTTAATGTCGTCGTTGCTATCAATGGTGGATGCATAACACTGGATAAAATTCATCAAGATCCCCTCCTTCTTTGTTTTGAATGATGCTTTGATGATTCTGGATCCGTGAGATTCCTATCCTACAAGTGCAATTCGTGACTCTTTGAACAGCATTATGATGACTCAATAAGTGTGTGGAGCAGTTTAGTCTTTGTGACCAGGGTAGGGCAACAACTCTCCCGCGTCTAGCCTTTGTTGTCCAGCTTGGGTCCAGTGATTTGACTGATTTCTAGTACCATCAAGTTGTATCTCCTCATTTCCTTAGCTATTTGACTGGTCTTCTCGGTCTCCTACATTGTCCGAACTTTCCATGTACATATATTGATTGTTGCTGCGGTTGTTAGAATGGGCATCGGCCTCATGACTTCCGACGAATCTCGGCTTTCATCATGATGCGTCATAATTCTTCCTTCAACTTGTGGGGCAGATTTTAAATGGTTTAATCTGTTGAGTCTGGTTGGCGTTTATTTAGCGAAGTTGTTTCCTACAGAATGGAGTTGTTGACCTCATGCTCAATCGTCCCTCTTTACCCGGGCTTGGAACCAGCAGTTATTCTAGCTACATATGGATTTACTAGAGACTTTTACTATATTAAGAATAAAAATTAAGAAAATGCTTTGCATCCATAAATTCAGTTCATTTTAGCATGTGTATTTTGTAACTTTTACCCAGTTTAAATGATAATTAAAATCAGGTTCAAACTATAACTATTATAGATGAGGAAGCATTCTACAGTGTACGAATAAGGTGAATAATGACAACTATCTTACTCTCATTATGGTTAAAATATAACGGTTTCAGCATTTCAGTACAACTTTAATAAGTGTGATTAAAGTTGGCTGATAATTAGTTTCTATTTCTCACAAATATATTCAGCAACTTTTAATACAGAATTTATTATTTACTTTCACCTAAAATGTCTAAGAAAAGTTCACTAATTATTATTACTATTTTACAGAGTAAACCCTTCTTCCTTAATTCCGAATGTTTGTTTTCAGAAAGGCAACTAATAATATAATCACGGATTGATTTTAATGATATAAGATTCTATAGTTAGGATTCACTGTGCATTCATTTTCACATAGAATGGAACTACATAACAGCTCATGTCCATGACTTCTTTGTTGATCAATCTCAAGATTACTGAGATTTTGTGATGAACTTCTAGCTTTTAGATCACCAAGCCGGAATCCAGTGGTTTTCCTTTCTAAATTCAAATGATCTACCTTATTGAATAACTGTGTTACATTATCTGCACTATCTCACCTTTTACATGACTTAAATTAACTGGTAATAGTTTTTCATTAGAACTTCAAGAACTTCCTCTCGAAACTAGTTATACAATAATAGTATTTGTTCCACCAATGAATGATGTTAAATTGTTCAAAAGACTCGAAAATAGTACTGGTTAAAATTATTCTACATGTACACAAGTTTCTACTGGCCTACCATTGTATAGTTTAAAAAGAAGAGGTCATTGAACATCAAATTAAGCAATCCTAATTGTTGAGAATGTATTTGTGTTGAATTACATTTTACTTACTTCGATAAATAAATGAAATTTCACTTCATTTTAGCAATATGAGAAGGGATTTTGTGGAGATTGTAGTAATTTCAGTACTTGAGTTCTAGTGAGAAGCATTGACCAGTGAAGTCCAACCGGGTCAATTTTGTGATAGTAAGTCACTGATAACAATAGAGGATGTGTCGCTCAATTTCGTGGACTGGGTGAAGTTAGACATGAACAGCATTGGATACCAGAAGACTCAGTGGTCTTGCAGTGAACGGAACAGGAGTGGGGGCAGTCAAATGTATTTAACACGACTTGTTGATAAAATCTAACAATCATAAAGTAATTAATTTGCTTAATTTGCAAAATGTCCACCAATTGTCTCAAAATCACTCAGACTTCATTGTTCTTGCATTTTCATACAAAATGCATCCTGTTTCCATTCTTTACTGTTCGATCCTCTCTTCTCTCTGCTGTCAGACCTTCTGTTGACGGTTAACATCATATTCTACTTATGTCAATATAAGTAGCACACACCACAGTCTAGTGGTTAAGCGCTCGCACGCGAGACTGATAGATCCTGGGTTCGTGGATGCGTACTGCTGAGGAGTGTCACAATAGGACGAAACGTCCTTACATTGCCTCTACGTTTTCCACGGGTCTAGCTTCAATTGACTCATGATCTCAGCTACTGAAATATGAGAAGACATTTCTACTCTCCAGGCAGATAGAAATCTAAATTAATGGGAAAACAATCAACAGCATTATTTTCTGAACCTATACCACAGATTACTAGTGCTCAGAATACTATATATATATATATATATATAAATAAATATATATAAATAAGTTTGTTGACGGTTACTAATAATGAACAAGAGTGTAGTGTGAAAATTGAAGTCAGTTTAGCAAACTAATAATTTATCAGTCGAGTGTATATAAAGCAAAAGCCTATTTTATTTTATTTTGTTTAACAGTCACTTATTTTCATTATTGTTGTTAAAAAAAGTTACGAAACTGAATACATATATATGGATTCCTTTTCATGATTAGGGTGAAAATCGCTCATCTGAATCTGATCATTCTCAACACTCCAATGGCTCAAAAACTAATCATGGTACTACTGATAATGTTACAAGTACAACTCGGAGTTTATGTGAGGATGGTAAGTTTTTATTGGACCAAATGATTGTATATATATAGTGTTTGCATAATTACTTATCAGATTTTAACGTTTAAACTGCTTGTAATAAATTAACTGTACAAAACACTATTGTTTATCAAATTTAAGTTTAATCGGGTGATTATAGATAGTTGACTGGTTACCCCGAGTCCGGGTTACGAGCTATTTGATAATCATCAGCAAGAAGTAACTAAAATCATAATGAAATGGATACTTTCAGGTAAGTTTGCTCCCGCATTGTCAAGCGTCATCACTCATAATGTTACCGTTGATTTATTTTAACCACAACTGATCGCTTCCCAATTGATTGATCGCTGAATAGTGGCGTAATGATCATTCGTCTTCTAAGTGAACACAATTAAGTTCTTCTTAATTCCCTTTTTATACTTATATTGTAAATTTCTTACACTAATCGAATAAACCAAATATTTAATAAAGACTTAAAAAATCGGCTGATTGTAATACGGAAATACTTTTTCACACCGCTAGCATACCTTATTGCATTATTAATGTTAACAATTCATAGATTACTATTTTAAAAATATCGGTTCTTATTATTCAAACATAATGATGAATGAAGAATAATATTTTCAGTATACTTTCATCAGATCCTAACTTTGATCTAAAGTAATAATCACGTTGATGGTAATGAATATCATTTGCAATTAAGTTTAAATTCAGAATTATCAATAAAATAGACGTAGAAATGTGAAGAGCATTGCTATATAATGTTGACTTAAATAAATTTGTGAGTCAGTTAGAATTCTAAGATTATTGACCAATATAGATAAAGATAATTTTGAGAAATAATAATTACTTAATTATTAAAATCTCCACAAAGACCTCCTTCTGATAATCATCATCATGTATTCACTAGAAACTGGCTTCAAGAGGTGTTTCCTGGAGTTCTAGTGAGAAGCCGTGACCAGTGGAGTTCAACCGAGTCTGTTATGAGATAGTAACTCCTTGAAGACAATGGTGGACGGTGGACTGGTTGATGTTAGACATTAACGCCGTTGGATGGTGGCTCAGAATCCGAATAATCACACCTTGGTCTCTAAGAAATAACGAGGTTATTAAGCTATTGTGTCATAATTCTATGGTCTTTATTTAAAGTGTTCAATAAGATACTGTCTCACTTGTTTGGTAATATAGTCCATTTTTCCACTCAGTCTATAATAGTTGATCGACATTTTGAAACTCTTGTAAAATCTTTAGATATTGACTTACAATTTGGAGCTGACATTATTAGTGAAATTTACCTTTATCATGATACTGGTATTCGGGAAATGACTTAGTACGAATTTGATAAGTTACAATTGGATCTATTACAATATGTGTTCTGCATACAACATCCACAGCGTAGTATTTTACATTGCATCCACAAACAACCAAACATAAGACAGTATTCAGATATAACAAGAAGGCACAACAATAATATATGGATCCTAGTGACTGGTCTATACTTTTGAAAGTTTAAACATACATCATTTATATCATTTGCAAGCTGGTTCAAATTAACACTAACATCAGATAAGTAATCAGTGTCTAGATAGTTCAGGTAACACACTCCTACAGAAGATAGATATTAAAGACACTATGTATAGCACTGATTGATGCAATTTTAAATCTCATAAATATAAACTTTTACTTAAACGCTGAGGATACACTTAAGATAAATATTCAAGTAATATCAATCAATGAATCACATTTGTTGCAGACTTAGAAATTGGATAATGATAAACTAATTTTATTACTATTATGAAGTGTGGGTACTGGGTTCGAGTCCTGTAAATCATATCAGCTCGGAAATGTAGGCAAATTCAATTGACGAATTCCAAACTAAGACGAAACGTGCGTCATAGATTCCACTATAATCCATTTTCCTTCTCTGTTTATATTACTATTATTATTTAGAAATTATATTATGATAAACTTGTTTGATCTCAAAAGTAAGTGTAGTATAAGATTATTTATAAGTACTATTTTAGAGGAAAATAACAATGATCAACATTGAAAAAATTAAGTTAGCTGTATCATGCTTAAATCATTGAAAATTATTGATCATGCCAAGAACAAAATCGAGTAAATTCATTTTAATGTTTTTCTTTCTTAATCTTTTTTTTAGTTTCATATTTATTTACCCGAAACATGCTTTACAAGAAGAATGAATAAAACACAAAACAAATTATTTAGAATATTATTATTTCAATAGCTCAGTGGTAACGTCTCTGACTGTGAAGCTGGGTGACATGGAATCGAATCCTCTAGGGAGCACAAGTTCCCTCAGGATTACAGATACACCTTGCTGACGAGGGCCAAGTAGCAAGAAACCCGGGTCAAGGGTTTCCTGTCTACTACCTCCAACCACCATCTAATCTCGATATATTAGCCCCCAAATGCCCTGGTATGGCCGAGAGTGGGGTGGGTCCGCCCTCCCTCTCGAAATGCTCTCACATGGCGATGCGTATACAGCCTCTGCCAGGGAAGTCCTACTCACTGCCTTCTCGTGGCGGGGTTGTTGCTTACGAAAATGAGAGGACGAAAAGCGAATGTCCGGCGCTTTAACGGGATCCCAAACCAATGGTGTACATGGGCTCCAGTATCCTGTGGGAACAAATGGCGTATGAACCAGTCGTTGGTCACCGGCTACTATGGGATTGCGTCTCTTCACGATGCTCCACTGCCTTGTCGATCAGACCTTTAGGTCGAAGGCTCGGGGTGTGGCCTCCTAAGAAAACCACCTGCTTCGGTTTGGGCACCCGGGCAGTATCACAGCCCACACACACAAATATAGTGTGGCGCATATGTATTTGGTGCCCTCTTGTACCGATATTTATGTGTTGAAATAAATAAATGATAATTTTGTATAATCTATATTATAAAAATCAATCATCACATAACTTTTGCAAGCTTCCGAATGCCCTAGTTGCTTTCAAATACCCTGGTATGCCCCTAAACGCCCTGGTACGGCCGAGAATGGAGAGGATCAACTTTCCCTCTCCAAATGCTTTCACATGGTGACGCTTATACAGCCACTACCAGGGACGTCCTACTCACTGGGTATTGTCTACGAAAATAAGAGGACGAAATGTGAATGTCCGGCGCTTTTACCGGGTTGATGCATATGAAGGGTCCAGCTAGGAGAGTTGAAAAACTATTACTGCAAACCAATAGTGCACCTGGGCTCCAGTATCCTGAAGGAACAAAAGGCGTATGAACCGATTATTGACCACCGGCTACCATGGGATTGTATCTCCTGACGTTGTTCTACTGCCTTGTATATCACACCTTTAAGTCGAAGGCTACGGGTGTGACCCCCTACGAAAATCACCTGTTTCGTTTTGGACACAAAGACAGTATGCTAGCCCTAACACAAATCGAATGATTTATGTGACGCATATTTATTAAGACCAGAGTAGTTACCGAGAACGTCTAAAATTTCTTCCTGATTTTGAAAGAGAAGATTGAATGATATCTGAATGATACTGGAAACTCTATATTGAATAACTTTACATATTTCATTTTTCTTTACTGCATAAACTAAAAGCAGTAGAACAAAGTTGTCTATTTTCGATTCTTTTTTTAAAAACAACCATGAAAGATGCTAACTAACCTGCTAGTTAAAGTGAACAAGTGTGACGCCAAATACAGACCACTTTACAAAAGTACCCGAATGAGCCAAGTCATGATAAATTTGAAAAAAATTATGTAACTGGTTCCAACTTAAACAAATCAACGAACTTTTATAATCAGATAAAATTTAACAAATAAAAGTACAGAATTGCATAGACCAAATATTCTTTGGTCACCCTAATAAGGTGGAAGGCAGTTATTTTATCACTAGATTAGTTAGAACGGAATGGCTTGGTAAAAATATGTAAGTATAACCAAATTTAGAGTTAATATTTTGCACTTGACAATCTACTGTCATCGATCAATCTGTCAGATATATATATATAATGTCATCAGACTGTCAATTGATAGATTGTCAAAATTTGTCTCGTTTTGACAGATCTCATTGTCTCATATTTTTATTTCATCAGTTAATTGATGATTCGATCTTATCAAAACGACTATGATTTTGTTCATAGTTGTCACGTTAGTAAGAATGTTGTAATTTAAACATCATCTTACACTTAAATAATTCCCGTTATATATTTATTCAAGGTAGTTCCCACTACAACTACATGATATAGCGAGTCTCATTTCAAGGTAATAAAACTAGGTATGATTCATTGTAAGTGTTTAGACAGAATAAAGTAAGGTAGTCGGTTAATTTTATTGAATATACGAGTGTTATTGAATGTGAATGGATATTAGTATTTAATATAATATATAACCTTGTGACTTAAAGCTATATCGAGGCAATCCGCACAGGGTGCACATATGCCAACATGAAACTAATCAATTGCAATCCTAAATCACAATGGGAAGATACAAGTAAAACAACACCAAGTGAATTTTAATCAGGACACTGTTATCAATATAACCTTGGTTTGGGAATGTAGCTAAACAATAAACGTTAGTAAAATTTTTTTTAACACTTCCTATACTTTTAAATGTCATAAAACCATATTGTAGAAACCATTTAATGAGTTTCCATTATGTTCAGTATCTTTAAATCTGCACTAACCTTTCAAAGTATTAGAAGATTATCTATCAACCTCATCTATGGTAAACATAATGTATTAAATGAAAACAAATAAGTTTATTCAATGTATTATACTTATGATTGTCGAAATGAGATAGTTATTCCCTTCTTTATAATATTCGATAACTAGTTATATTATTAGAAACACTTAATAAAGTAATTATGATTAAAAGACTAGTATTTGAACGAAGAATATTCTTTTCGATAAATTCTCTTCAGGTTCTACAATTCATATATCCAAATTAATAATCCGAAAAATGGCCAGGTTAAGGGCAAAGTACATCGTTTAAAGCATGTGAATTTAGGCGCCACTTCGTGGATTGGTTAA